GAAAAGGAAGGGCATCTTAATGCAGTGGTGCCCTGCGATAAAAACTCTTTCCATAATCACACTCGTTGCCACATTTATTTTATTTTTTTTTATGCTTGACTTCAATGGACTTTGTGCTGCTCCTCCAGTTGTGTAAACTTCGGTCAACTTGGGCTAGTATACATAATAGAGGCATAAGGAAACAGAAAGGGGCCCTATTTTGTGTCTAGCGCAAGTCTAGTGCAAAAGTACAGTCGAACTGAGCACATGGGTCGAGTTAGAAAGGGGCAGTTGGGCCACTTTTGGGCGTGAACACACCCAACTAGCGCGCGGGCTAATGGAAGTAGCTCCCATCACTCCCTTTAAATTCAAGGCAGGAGAGGCACACTCAGTCTTTGACGTTGCAGAAGCAGAAATAGATTCACTGGAGTCCATGACGAAAATCAAAGAGCTCAAATTACATTCACAAAAAGCAGCAAGCAGACCTCCATGGGTGGATAGCGCAATTTTGGCCAGGGCAATCACATATCACTTCTGTGAAGTGGGCACTTGAAGACCGTCTTCCACCCTGATCATTTGTCTTCGTGTGTGACACCGTGCGAGAGAAAAAAATGCTCATCCAGAACATCCAACTCGACTTTCACCATGATGAACATCAAAATATGCCAGTCCTAATGCCAAACACGTATGCATTTTCCATGAAAATAGAGCCCCAAATGTTTTAAAACGTCAGCGTTCGATGTCACACTGTACCGTAACTTTTGGTGCGGGGGAAAGACTTTTAGTGTTATTATCTTGTCTTTCTACATGTGTTGCTTCTCCCTTTGTGTTCAGATACATTCTTTAAAGAGCTATAAAACCTTAACACCGATGCTATTCATTAGCCCATCTATGGGCGTTTTGCATTGTTAATCGAGCTAAACAGACTTTATTTTGGCAAAGCCGTGTGACTGTTTTTAAATATGTAACATGGTCTTGCATGACTTTATTTTGGCAAAGCCGTGTGACTGTTTTTAAAATATGTAACATGGAATTGTCTTATGCGGAGTGTAAATTCTCCGTGAAATGACATGTTGTGTATGGATAAAAAGTGAACATGAAAAATGAAGCATAACTAAAAGGAAAATTTTATGTGTGAACCCCGTCAACGTGAGGAGCATTTCATATGTATTTTTTTAAAGTTGCTTGAAGCATCTCCCTTACTGTGCAAACGACTCAAAACTGAGAGTGTGAAAATGTAACACTGTCCCTCTTTGGCAACATAAACACAGAGCGGCTCTCAAAAGTTGCATTAGTGCCGTGCTGGGAGGAGGGCGAGAGCTGGCATCAGCAGCATCCACAAACGCAAACGGCTGTGAAAATAACCTCCACCAAACAAATAAGACTTCCACCAGCTAATCCATCCACCCTCAGTCTATCGAGCCGTTTTTTTGTTTTGTTTTGTTTTTGAAATTAATGTGGTGTGCACAGAAATCTCACTCAATACTGTTTCTTTGTTTAAATGTCATTCGGTGTCACTGTTTTTCAGAGACACGTCAATATGTGGGTATGGTGATATTTTTGCGGATAATGCGAGCTATTTTAGTCCTGTGTTTCACAGAAGCTTATATCGGGTCCGTTATGACATCAAGTCACCCCGTAATCAGTTATTATTGACTGACTGACTGACTAACTTCTTCACGTTGCTGTGTACTCAACAAGAAAAAAAGGTGAACTAAAAATATGTTTTATTTTAGTTTCTATAGTTTTATAGTTAGTTTGGAGGTCAATCAAATATGTGCAAACTCTTGACCACGCATTTTGCTGTTTCAGTCTTATCTCCCCCCTTCATTTCTGTTATTTCTATTCCCCGTTTGCTGTCAGGAACTGTCTGTCTTGTTTCCCCAATCAATTAATAAATTAAATTAATAAAAATAAGCAAGTTTTGTCGGGTGGTTACGTTAAGAAATGGGAACAAAGCGTGCATGCTATAAGCCAGGGGTGGCCAACCCGCGGCTCGTGAGCCGCATCCGGCTCTTTGGCTGGTTGAATGAGGCTCACGGGCTTTCGCACGACAAGCGTTGAAAACGCCTCGGCGGTGGCAATGCCATTCAAATAAACGGCGCTAAATACACAGAACGTAATACGTCAGCCTGTCATCAGTCCCGTTACTTGATTGACATAGAGGGCAACCAATCAGATGACTGAATAAGCACGCATGCGCAAACAAGGCTGCTAAACTCATCAGCGAATTACCTCTGATGTCAAGGGAGGGGTGCCCAATACGTCGATCGAAATTGACCGGGCACCAGCGGACTGGTCGCAAGTCGACCGCAAGGGGTAGGAGGAGGAAATGGGGGGGGGGGGGTTTGTGTGTTTGTGTCTTTAGCTTTCGTTCAGGCCGTTCTGGCTGTTGCTCATCGTGGCGTGTGTGCATATGTGAGCGAGTGCATGGTTGGCTCTTTGCAGTAACACAATTAAAAAATGGCTCTTTGTCTCTGACTGGTTGGCCACCCCTGCTATAAGCCATCTGTGAACCTCCTTTCCGGATGGAATGCTTAAAGTCCCCCTCGCACGTAATTCATCACAATTATCATTCATTAGTTGCATTGAAAAAAAAGCCTGTGTTCATTTGTATGCGCTTTCTCTCAGCGGCATCCCTGTCACTTCTGCCTTCTGCTCATGGCCTGGAAGAAAGATGATGTGATTTAACAAGTGGTGTCATGAGTCGCACACGAATTTGTGATAGACTGACACCGCAAGTTGCTCCGCTGTGCGGTTGTTACGACCCGTCCACCTGACGTCAGCTGGCAAAGGTCTATGCATTTTCTCGATGTCTCAGTAACAAGTGTGTTGCTTGGTCATCGCATTCGGAGGACACCATAACTGCCCGACAAAGTGGCAGATGTCAAATAACCCAAATTTCAGCATCAAACAATCCATTCGCAAAAGCAAGAAGAATCGAGAAAGAAATATAAGTGTTGGGTCCACAGTTTAAGATACTATCATAGCACAAAGTATACATCAGCCAAGAACTCTTGATCAATTATTCATTTGTTCCTCTCACTAAAAGGAAGATAAAATATTCACATTTCCCCTCTGTCTTAATCCAATTCTATAGCCTTTCTTCCACCTCAGGCTTAATTTATTATTCCCGTGTTGTTCCGCAACTTCCCCGGTTTTCAAATACATTTTCATCTTCATCAGGAAGCAAATGATATTAAAATTTAGGCGTTAACAAATTATTGCTCTGCCATTCACTCGCCAAAATGAATGAAAAAAAAAAATCTAAAACCAAGACTTGTCATCAGGAAATCACCTCAAATAAGTATGATCGAAATGATTAAAACCAAGCAAAAGTCATTCGAGATCAATTAAAAGATAGCGTGCACACTGCGATTAAAACAAGAGACTAAAGGGACGGATTCACGAGAATGCTGCTGGAAACAATCAGGTTTGCAGGCCTGATCTAAAACTGTAAAAGGTAATCGAGGAGTTTCTTCCACAGGTGAGGAGCATAGGAACTCAATGCTGCTTCACTTTGTTTGGTTCTGGGAAAACGCGAGAGACTCATCCCAGAAGACCTGAGGGGTCTGAAAGCCACATCTTGCATGCATTTTGGTCCGAGACCCTTTAGAGACTCATAGACCAACAGCAAGATTTGAAAATCTATTCTTTGACTTCACAGGAAGCCAGCGTGTTGATTTGAGGACAGCCGTGATGTGGTTCAGTTTCTTCTTGTTTGTAAGGACTCTGGTGGGAGTATTTCGGATCAGCTGCAGCTGCCTGATTGATTGATTTTTTTTTATTTTTTTTTTATACCTCTAAAGTCACCATTAGAGTAATCTAGCCTACTGAAAATAAAAGCGTCAACATGTTATTTTTCTGTATCTTGTTGACAAAAAAAAAAAAAAAAAAACAGAATTAGAGGTACTCTATGTTTTTCGGACGCACTGTATGTTTTTCGGCGGGTAATAGGCGGACTACAATCGGAAAGTGACACGAGAATATTGCTAAATTGCCCGTGGCTGCTGGTCCAATCTGTTGAACGCGGCGTGAATGAACGCGTCAGTCTACCCAATGTCAGCAGCACCGGCTTGATTGGGCGGTAACCTGCGTTGCACGACACATACGCCGTGCTTGTCGTTAAGCCCTCAAGCGGAATGCAAGCACGTGAAAGATAATTTCTGAAATAGGCTCCCCACGACTCGACAAGAACACTGGTTCTCCATTTTAAGGCCCCTCGGCTCAGTGGAAGGAGCACCTGCTGGAGATAAATGTGGAATGGGATGTGCAGGGTATAAAAGTACTGCTGAGATTTCAGGGGAGAGTTGTGCCATTCTGTCATACAAACAAGACACCCCGTGGTGGAGCGGGGGTGAGGTGATTTGTGCTACTTTAGCATTGAAGTCACCCAGTAGAACGAGGGAGTGCCCAGAGCAGCCAAAAAACTCCAAGGACTCCCCAAAAAAAAGGGGGGGGGTACTCTGAGCTACTGCTCAGCGATTCGGAAGAAAAAAAAACCAAAACCAAAGCTGCAATGAGGCTACCCTCTCGTCCACTAGTGTGAACCCCAACGTACAGGCGCCGAGCTTTTACATGGGGGGGTCCAACCCCTCTCCTGGTTACCAGATCCCAAGCTGTGAGCTAAAAGCTTGTGTAGCCGCAGATCAAATTCTTATTTACATGGTAGCTATCGATAAATGCATTGTCCGTATATTCGTAACCGGCATTGCCAATGTTGTAAGAGAAGAAAGTCAAGAGTTTTGTCCGAAGAAAGGTCATCACACATGTCCAGCCGTGTGAGCTGAAAAACGAGATTCTGCTCGTTGATTGCATTTCTGACGGACCAAAATGTCAAACTGCAGTACAAGGCTTTTCTCCTTTTCTTCTTCCTTGCAGCTATCGACGGTTGCGTTCATTTAAAGTCATAAAATAATCAAATTATTGAAATGATGCGACCTGAGAAAATATGGAAAACATGCAAAATACCGGCGGATTTCGAATATAAATAGGACTGCGAACCTAACTGACGATCACACCCGACTAGGCTCTCCCTGGCTAGACGTCGAGAAGACCATCAAACAGCTCGGTTGCTCATCCCAGGTGAGTGATGATAACTAAGCAGTGGTACAAGTTGCGCGTTGCCTACATGCTGAATCCGATTGTCGGAAGTGTGACTTCACCGCTTCTGTTGTTTTGTTTTTTTTTCCCCCCCTCCTGTCAGCTACTCCCTATATCTGCAAACATGCCCGGCCCCATGAAAATTGCTGCTCTGGGTCAGCCCTTCACCTTGGGGATGCTGTATGATGCCCGCTCAGATGAACTCATCCCAGGTAGAACTTGAAGCACGGTTATCCTCAGTGTTATTCTGGTATTTATCGCACTCATATCCTGTGTCTGTTCCTGCAGGTTTCTCTCTGTGGGATCCATCGGTTCTAGATAAACACACCAGTGAAACGACTCAAAAAAGCAGTTCCTTTAAGATTTCAGCCTCGGACACCATTGAATCGAGGTCTTCTATGATGGATATCGAAGCTTCTCTGAATATGAGTTTCTTGGGGGGCTTGGTTGAAGTTGGAGGATCTGCCAAGTACCTGAATAATCAGAAGAAATTTAAGAACCAGAGCAGGGTCACTTTTCAGTACAAAGCGACCACCACCTTTAAGCAGCTGTCTCTTTCTACTCTCGAGCCACTAAACAGCAGCCAAAAACAAGTGATTGAGAACGGCAAGGCGACGCATTTGGTCACGGCTATCCTTTACGGGGCAAATGCATTCTTTGTCTTTGACAGTGAGAAGTTAGAGGCCAGCAGCGTTCAAGATATCCAGGGTAACATGCAAGCGGTGATCAAGAAGATTCCCACATTTAAAATTGAAGGAAGTGCGCAGATAAAGTTGAGCGAAGATGAGCAAAACTTGACCAACAAGTTCACCTGCACATTCTTTGGAGACCTCATCCTTGAGAAAAACCCCGCCACCTTCGTCCAAGCAGTGGAAACCTACTGCGAGCTTCCGACACTGTTGGGAGATCCGGAAAATAACGCTCCGCTGTTCGTCTGGCTGCATCCTCTGCAGGCGCTGTACAACAAATCTGCCATCCTGGTCAAGGAAGTCAGCGTCTCACTGTCGAGGGAAATTCAACAGGCTATGGAAGACCAAAACGAAGTGAAAATGAGATGTAACGATAGTCTGTTTAGCGGCGCGGCACAAAATTTCCCCCTGATTCGTAAAAACCTGAGCAGTTTCCAAAAACTTTGCTCTTTTTACAAAGCTTCTCTCAAATTGGCACTATCCACAAAGCTTCCTTCCATCCGCGATGGCAAAGAGGATGAGAGCGCATTGGCCAAAGTCTTTCACGATCGAGAATACTCTCCGTTCCAGAAAACCCGCCTTAACAACTGGTTGGAGAACAAAGAACGCATCATCAATGTCATCGACTCCTGCGTTAACATGATGCTCAAGGACACAAACGCTCGTGTCGTGCGCACTAAGACAGAATTGGATCGAGTGGTTCTCGCTCCGGGTATCACAAATGTTCTTTGCTACGTATTCACCGACTTGGACGCAAACGACTCCTTCATTGACAGCATGGCTGAGTACTTGGACACATCCAAGACCGGAAGAACGGATGAAGGATATCAAACCTTCTCAAATGAGGTCATCATCAAAATGAGAGAAACCGCCCAAGAGTTCATTAAATACGCCAAGCCTCTGAAGCGCAGCAGCAGTGTCAAGTTCCTTATCACTGCGATGCCTAATAACAAATACAAGGGAGCTTCCATCTACCATTACAAAAACGGCCTTCTGTTCAGTGACAAATTCACCGTGCCATCGGTCCCACCAGTGAGGGAGATCACAGACAGAAACGATTTAATCTGGCGTAAGTTCCTTCTTTTTTTGTGTGCTACTGTAAATTGAGAGGTTCGTAGGTTTTGAATGGATGGGAATGGGCAAAAAGGAGAGATGGACTTTGTTTGAACGCAGCTTTTATTTCTTTATTTTTTAACGTTTGAATGGCTGGCTCTACGTTAGGAATGGGAAAAAGGAGAGATGTACTTCGTTTGAACGCAGCTTTTATTTATTTATTTTTAAACGTCTGCTGCGCTACTCCCGAACGGACGAGACCACACCTTTTTCCGGCTACTCAAACTTCCTGGTTTCCTTCAGCCAATCAGATAATATCAACATAAACTTGTGTTAAGCAATTATTAAACTGAATATAATATAGGTGTGTTGTTCATCTTAATATGATGAGCCATCATTTAGTGAACAAATGAGCCTAAGCTCAACTTTATTGTTGCCAGCACGCATGGTGATCTCCGTGAACTGTCTTTACCGGAAACCTTGTCATATGCTATCAACTCTAAACCTACAGCGCCCCCTGTTGGCTATATGTATCACAATCACATATCAAGACAATAGGTAATCCGAACACAAAATATAACGCTCAAACATAAAATGACAAAAATTAACAATTTAACAAAAGCTTACACGACTGTTTACACCTCCGTGTCAAACTGCGCCGACTGTCGTGATCCCTAACGTGTTTGTGTTTTTTCTTTCCATCAGGTGCCGTGGAACTCAAACTGAACCCAAGTACCGTCCACAAAAATCTCACCCTGTCAGACGAAAACACCAAAGTGACATACAGCAGTAGCAGGTCGTATCCGGCTAACACGGATAGGTTTCTGGATTTTCAGCAAGTTCTATGCCAAGAGTCGCTAACGGGTCGTCATTATTGGGAGGTGGAGTGGAGGGGCCACATTTGTGCGGCGGTTGCATACGATGAAACTCCGAGGAAAAATGGCGAAGGCTCGCGCCTACCATTCACCGATATGTTCAGCTCTTGGGGAATTCATGCAAACAATGATTTTCAAGTCATCGTTAAAACCAGAGATATGAAAATTTGGTTATGCTTTGAGCCTACGAATGGCGTGCAAAGATTTGGGGTGTATCTTGACTCTCCCGGGTGCACTTTGTCCTTCTATCGTGTCTCCGGAAACAATTTGTCTCACATCTATACTTACAACAGGCCTTTTGAGGAGGAGGTCTACCCAGGTTTTGCCGTTTATTCCAAACAAGGCTATGCGGCCCTGACGTTTTAGCACGGCTAAGACCCATAAGCCCACGCCATATGAATCAGCTCTGCAACACTTTTGCACCATTATTTTAAACAGCGTTTCAAGGCAGTGGGCACCGCTTCATAATTCACATAATCACTCTCCTAATGATCGAGCTTCGCACATTAGTACCTCATTTGCTTAGAGGACACTCTTCACATGACGAAATAATACAACGATTTGAATGTTAACTTTGAGGCACTTCGGTAAAACATCCTTTCTAATTCAACAATAGACAAATGGAGATAATGGACAGTTTATTTGATTTGGTTGAAAGCGATTTGGTTAGTGTGTTGCTTATGGCTTTATTTCGGTTTGTTGTTAAAGTTCAGAAAACTCATGGAACGAATCAAAGTTTTTTATTTTGAGGAAAATGTTACCAATTTTTTTGGGCTGTTGTTGTTAGCCACGTATCGAAACCAGGTCTGCCTCTCCAAACACAATTCATCTCACAGAAAATCCATTCCCAATTGATGTAACAAGGGAATGTATTGACATCTGTGAATAGTCAATCACAGTCATTGGCCTGTTTTTTTTTTGGTTTTCTTTTCTTTTGCTTGTTCGTTTTGGTGTAGTGGCAACAGTTGCTTGATGATTGGCTTTCGGTGGCTTTGCAAAAATCATAGCATCTACTGTAAAAAAAAATGTGACTTTGAATAAACTTTTATTGTCACTGCAAAAGCTTCTTTCTCTGATCTGTTGGTCATCATTTTGTCTCCTTTGTGATTAAAATGAGAGTGGGAGTGGATAATGGAGAATGGCTCGGAAACAAACAAAAATCATATCACACTCCAGCTACTTGTGTTACCACTGAGGTTCACGCAAAACAACAACACACAAATAGTTCCGTTTAATTTGCTCCACACAGAACATTTCGGAAATGCTTCTCCTGCATCTTAGATGCATCCAATGTGTCAGATTACCCATTCATCATCTATCCGCGAACTGGATCTGATTTCAGCTGGGCTAGAGCTGGTGGCCGGTCAATCACAGGGCGCATATAAATAACTATACAAACTCATTTCCACGCCGGTGGACAACTTTGAACCTCTAATTAACCACAAAAGTATGAATGTTCATGGAAGGAAGTTGCAGTAAGCCTGCCAATAGCAGAAATCTGATCAAAACTGATGTCCATTGAGGAGAAAAGGAAAAAACCGCCCCCTCCCAAAAAAAATAATGATAAATATTTAGTATTTCCCTGAAAACAGGGTGAAAATTGAGGGGGGGGGGTTGTACATCAAAAACAAAAATAGACAAAAATATTCCAGAATTTTTTTTTCTTTAATTGAGAGCCGTCCACTGTATTTCGAAGAGGCCACTGGAACGTTGACCAAAAGGAAAAAAAACCTCATCATTTCCTCATTCCATTCATTGGCACCAACAAGAAGTCTGAAATATTTTCCGTCCGATTAGCTTTGAGAGTAACGTTAAATAAAGTTTGAATATCGTCTCTAAGAGACTGTACCTACTTCCGTGTTCGCGACGTTGCTAGGAGACGACAGCGCCATTGCTGCTCTGTTTTGTCCTCCCCCTTTTTTTGAGTTTCGCTGGGTGTTTTTCGGCAGGATTGAGCGCCATGGAGATTGTTCATGAGTACTCGAAACCTCGCAGGGATTTTGGCCGCCAATGTCTCTTCTCTGACCGTCCGGCGGAGCTTGTTGCGGACGTGCCTCCTGACCCGAACCTGGCGCTGCAGTTCATGCCGAGGGGGAGCAGCGGCCAGGCGCTTCAGTGTTCTCGGGACATGTCCGAGCATCAGGTGGTTTTCCAGCTTCATCATGTTTACCTTTGAACGCGTACTTACCGTGCTAAATACAGTTCCTTATTGAAGTACTTAATTTCAGTACTTTAATTGAGAAAGTGAAACTCATGCACGTTTTTTTTTTAATATCGTCGGTTTATTGTGAAAACTCACAACCTCACAAGGATATTGCGTAAATATTTTTGATCATAGAAATTAGGTAGGAATTCGATATCTGAAAAGTATTTCCCTGGGTTTAATGAATCTGTATAATGAGTAACTTATTTATTTGAAAATTGAAATGAGTTAGCTTTTTATATGATGTTGTAATTTATTGAGAAACACCTGTAACTAGGGTAGATTAGAACAAAATAAAAACAATACCATGAATGCAGAGTCACCACTGCCCACTTTCTTGATTAAAAAAAATATATATTTATCGATTTATTTTGAAATCATTGTTCAAATTCTTGGTCGAACGTCACTGAGCATGAACCACGTTTGTGTTGACACAAGTTTAATTATGTTTCCAGATAAACACAGAGAGGTTTGAATCAGAAAGCCGCGGAATAAACCACGTGGAAGGGGGCTGGCCCAAAGACGTTAACCCCCAAGAGGTGGAGCAAACCATTCGTTTCAGGAAGAAGGTCGAGAAGGATGAGAGTTACTTGAACAGCATCGCGCAACTCGGCGGCGTAAGACCCGCTGTTGTCCCACACTGCCTCGATTTAACCCTGAAATCATCCTGCACTCTATTATGTCATCTGTCTGGGGTCCAGGTTATAGAGCACTGCGTTGGACAGAACACCGCCGTTGACATCTACCAGAAGTACTTTGAGGATGAAGATCTACTCGACGAAATTCAGGATCCGCCATTCGCTAATACTATCTATGTTTTCCGGTATCTGGTGACAAAACTTATCCCGCAGGAGCTCTTGTACAGACTTTGAGATGTCAAACTTCCACTTGTCGATGTCACACTTTGGATTGTTTCAACAGAGATCCAAACCGGGTGAAGCGAACAGTTAGCTGTCTATCCTGGCACCCCGACGGAGGCAGGAAATTGGCCGCTGCCTACTCATGCCTGGACTTCCAGAAAGCTTCCGCAGACATGAGCCCCGATTCATACATCTGGGACCTCGGTAAGCGCGACAGACACAAAGACAGGCCAAGGGGCCAAAATATGACACAGTCCTGATTGGATATTTCTCTGTTTTCCAGAGAATCCCAACAAACCTGAGTTAACTCTGAAGCCGGCGTCTCCTCTTGTCTGTTTGGACTACAATCCAAAAGACTCGCACACTCTCGTCGGCGGGAGCTACAATGGCCAGATTGGTGGGTTTGTGTAAAAGATGGATTAATACTTCTCATAGTTATTGAAAAGTTAGCACAGTCCGGCTTCTCAGCAGTCCTGACCAGGATAAATTAAGCTATCCGTGCAACTGTCCATCGGACTTCTTGTGCTTATGTTCAGTAAGTCTTGGTGTGTTTTAGTGTTCTGGGACACCCGTAAAAGCGGTCAGTCCATGGATGTTTCCTCTCTGGAGCAGAGTCACAGGGATCCGGTCTACAAAACCATTTGGTTACAATCCAAGACCGGGACCGAAGCCTTCTCTGCATCCACCGATGGACAGGTCTGTTAATTTAAATCGACCTTCAGGGGCTGCTGTTTGACGAATCTGAACGCTGCGTTTGGTGCCAGGTTCTGTGGTGGGACGTCCGTCGGCTGAGCGAGCCCACGGAGCAGTTAATTTTGGACCTGGGTCGGGAAGGGAACCTGGACCGGGCTTTGGGAGCTATCTCTCTGGAGTTTGAAGCCACCATGGTGTGTTTTGTTCCAGCTATTCAACGCTGAATGAAAGTAAGCGTCTCTCAGTCCGTCCCTTAAAATGTCCTCTTGTCTCTCCAGCCAACCAAGTTCATGGTGGGGACCGAGCAGGGTGTCGTTGTGTCCTGTAACAGGAAGGCAAAGACTCCGGCCGAGAAGATCGTGGGTACCTACGAATGTCACCATGGACCTGTCTATGCCCTGCAAAGAAATCCCTTCTTCCCCAAAAACTTCCTCACTGTGGGTGACTGGAGGGCTCGAATTTGGTCCGAGGACATAAAGGACTCATCCATCATGTGGACAAAGTAGGCTCCCGGTTTATTTCCTCCAACAAGGATGTGAATTGTAATTCTGACTAGATTGTTTGAAAACAACTCAACCACATTTCCAAGAGCGTATCTTTTACATTTTTTTTTGCTTCTTCTATGTGTATTCTTGTGTAATTCTGACTAGATTGTTTGAAAACAACTCAACAACGGCTCTCTTACATTTTAGCGGCATTTTTGCTTCTTCTGTGTGTATTCTTGTACAAGATTCTGCCATTATTACGTATCCTCACTGCTTTTTCTTTTTTTTTTTTCTTGGCCATGTCCCATGTCGATATATCTTGACTTTGATCAGATACCAGATGTCATGCCTGACAGATGCCTGCTGGAGTCCTATTAGACCCTCCGTCTTTTTCACAGTGAAGATGGATGGCGTGCTGGACATCTGGGACGTCTTGTTTAAGCAGAACGACCCCACGCTGAGTGTAAAGGTAAAGTCATCCCTTCTGTGTGCGCCTCAAGCCAAACAGCATTTTTCTGTGAGCGGCTCAAACCAAGTGTTGTTTTTCAGGTGTGTGATGAAGCTCTGTTTAGCCTGCGGCTGCACGAGAACGGTCGCCTGGTGGCTTGCGGATCACAGCAGGGTGCGGCTACAATACTGGAGGTCTGCTCGGGACTGTCTAACCTCCAGAAGAATGAAAAGAGTCTTATGGCCGAGGTGAGACCCTCAAAGTCAAACATTTTCTTTGCAATAATACGTCGTCGGTAGTACCCTGACAAGTTTAAACACGGTGTTCTGATGAAGGTTGTATCTTATGGAATAAGAATCGAGAAGCTACCTGTTGCTCTGCGGACACTATATTGGTGATCTTTGAGTTAAACACACATGCTGACTTCCTCCACTTCAATTAGCAACAACCTAATTTGGCTGAGTTCAGAAGAGACTCAGATTGTAGTCATGATTGAGAACAGTGGTGCCCAACCACCGGGCCGCGGACCAGTACCAGTCCGTGGGTCATTTGGTATTGGGCCACACAGAAAGAATAAAAAACTTACATGACTTCCGTTTTATATATTTAAAATCTGCAAGATGTTTTATTTTGAAAAATGACCGGATTCTCTATTACATCCGTCTACAGTACATCACTCTTGACGCGCTTCTCGGTCAGGTGATAGGTTACCACTAAAATGAAACCCAGGAGCTAGCAAAATGAGTAAAAAAATAACCGTCTTTGGAAAGGGGAAAAGACCCAGCCAGGAGACAGAAGAGGAGCCTACGACTTTCAAGCAAAAGAAAGCTACATTTAATAGACAGTATCAGGAGTCTGACTTAAAATATGAATTTATCGCAACGGGAGATTACCACACACCAAGCCCACTCCGCATCATATGCGGCGATGGTGAGTCGTATTTTTCATGCACTTTGTATTTGCGGTGTATCTTATTTTGAAGGCATGTTTAAACATTACCATAGCGACCACAGAGTCTTGCGGCCAGCTAGGACGTTCCTCGTGTCATGATTCTTGTTTATTATTATGTTTCGAAAATACCACAGTTTTCATGCAGGTCACATCATATTATTTTGTTGTATTTTTCTGTCACATTAAAGGCCGGTCCCTGAAAATATTGTCTCACATTAAACCGGTCCGTGGCGGGGAAAAAAATGTTTGGAGACCGCTGATCTTGAATACAGAGCAAAAGTCGCCACTAGACTTGGATGATTTATTTAATGTATATGGTTGCTCACACGCTCCACATTCAAACCACCCATGATTGGCGATCCACACGTATCACCACAATTGTCCGGTGCCCTTCCTTGTTGAGATTCCAGAAGCTTAAGGAGCTTCCTTGTGTCAATTGTGTGCACGTGCAGATGTTAGAGCGCGAGGCGAAGCGCGAGAAGATCCTGGAGGCTCGTCAGAAGGAGCTGCGGCTGAAGGAAAGGAGTCGCTCCGAGCAGAGCCGAGAGGACGAGGCGGGACGAGACGCGGCCGAGCGAGAGGAGTCTCCCGAGCAAATGATCGCCAGAGCTGAACAAGACTTCTTCAGCATGGTGGAAGCTGAGAAGAGGAGGAGGAAGGAAAAAGAGGAAGAAAAAAAGCAGGTAAGGACTGATGGCCATCAATTCATCGTAAGCCATATTGTGGATTTATTCACAAAATCACACTTTACCAACACATCCTAAAGCAATGTTTGTGCTTCCTCCTCTTATTATAACACAACACCGAGGATCTTATTAAAATCTAATCTTAAACCATCTATTCTCACTTTCATTTATATGTATGTTTTTTCATCTGTCCCCTTATCTTAGATTAGCTTGTAGGCAGGAGGCGGACAACAAGAGTGCACCAGAAGAGCTCGGCTGGGTATGAAGCGCAGTTTGTCCTAAATCAGTCTAACCAATGGGACGCAGCGTCACCATCCATATTTTTTCTTTCGTGCCTGACCACACATCTCAATCAGCCAGCAGTCAATTTCCGTCATTGCAGTATCCGCAATTTTGAACACACATCATTGCTGTACAATTGCAGGAGTTGTGTTTCTGCCGTGCAGTGACAAGGCAGCAGAACCTTTTCTTGTAATGGGCTAGGAAAAAAAAAATCCCACTATTGCAGGCGGCATCAGAGGCACAAATCATCTCACCTGGGCAATTTCCTCATCCATTTGCGTCAAACGCTTTCTCTGGCATTTGAGTCAGAGAAGAAAGCACAATAGAAAAGTAAATGGTTCCATGTTCTTGTGAGAGCGAGTGCTGCTGATTGTAGAAGCTACGTCATCAGTATTGTTTGTCTAACAATTTTTTTTTGTTGTTTTTTTTGACAGTTCAGCCTTGACTCGACTCAATGACATTCTATTTGTGGTATTGTTCTTTATAACCTTGTACAACTTGGACAGGGTGGGCAAATTCCTGCGCTCAAGCGCCACAGATACCTTTATAGTTTTGTCCTTATTTGGGTTGTGTGTATGCCAGGAAACTTTGTGCTAGAATTGGGGTACACTTTTGAATAAGTCACCATGCAGTCATTCACAGGACACACGTGTAAAGATAAACAACCACCATGTTGGCCAGGTTCCAATTGCTTCCAGCAGATGGCGCTTTAGTTTAAACAAAAAAAAAGTATGGACTGCATTATGATTGATTTCACATATGATGAATCATTTAGGGGCAAAAGAAAACTAATATTGCAAAAAGACAGCACATTGGCCTGGTGGTTAGCATGTTTGGCTCGTAGTTCTGATGCACCATGCACACAAAGTATGTTCCAGGCCAACAATGTCCTCATAATAATTGTCTGTTTCCAAGTATGGACGACAAATCTTTTCAAAATGTATTGGTAGCCTGTCTGAATAAATGGACAAGTAATCGGACAGCCATTCGTGTCTTGTCCAGGTGTTCCTTGTTGTCTCGTTGGTCTGCGTCAGTTCATTGTTTCTGTTGCCGGCACACATCATATAGCCTTGGCCTGGGTGGTGAGCTGGAGAATGATTTAGTTCTTAGTGTTTCTCTGATTTTTGATTTGGTGGTCTTGGATCATGTTGTATTTTGATTGGTCCCAGTATCTGGTTTGCCTTTTTTTTCTCCTTCTTCTTTCTTCCCATCATCTGCTGCAATGTGATGCTGAGGAAACCTCATGACTGCTGTAAAAGGTGCCCCTCCAACCCCCCTCATCGCATCTATTATTCACAAAAGCATGCGAGAGCAGCTGTTTCCAGCCTCATTAGACGAAGATCACACCAAGACGTGTGAGACAATGGTCCATCTGATTGCGCTTTTTACGTACTTGCCGGGAAGATCAAGCAATTTGCAGTATTGCTCCAAGCACGACATCAAGAAGGAATAAATGATTAGAAACAAGAATATTTCTCATCGGGCTTGGAAAGCAAATAACTTGAGGAGACACTTTCCAAAAATCTGTCCCAGCGGATTTGAGCGTCCTATCGAACTGGCGATTCCCTTAACTGCCCTGGCCTGTCACTCACTTTGATTTGGCCACTAATTAAGAAAATTGCTCCAGAAGGGGCTTCTCGGTTCACATCCAGACCACACAAATCAATGAGGTTGTCTATTGAGGCTACACAGTAGTCAATATTTAAGAAATATCCTCTGATTTAAATACGGATGTGGGGTGCTTTTTTTTCCCCCACTTCCATTTAATGTGCGTCAAGTTGGATTCTGCTCATTGACGTCTTTATTGCATCTCAGCGTTGATTGTTGGTGCAGATTTGTGGCCTCATTTCTGCTGCTCCAGTACGCAACGGCCACATGCTTGTGAGTGAGATTCATTTCGAAAAGTGGATGAAGATGGAAAACTGGAAGTTGGACGGAGGTTTTGAGCATGAAGAAAAGAGGGAGAAAGGAACGACAGAACATCATCCTAAGGCTGCGTTTTCGTCTCCACAGAGAGTTGGTGCAAACTGAGGCAATTCTTTACACAGCTGAAAAAGAGTGTGATAATCCAATTAAATGAAAATGGAAACGCCAAATGATCCCCACCCCAGTTCCCTCGTATTCTTATAAATCCTCTCTAACACAGACGCAGCCACATACACAGTAAATGTTGCAGATATCATTAATAATGAGTGGGAATAATAACTTACTTAGTTCTGCAAATTTGAAATATTCTGTTGGGGGATAGGAATGATGTTGTGTGGAGGAATTATTATTATAATTATTATTATTATTTTCACATTTTCATTCATTGATATCTGTGTGTATATGGATTTAGAAGGTAATACAAAAATGTGGAAAAAGTCAAGCATTTTGATTACTTAATGGATGAGCTCTATGGAAAATATGCAAAACGGATCCTTTTCTATGCTATAATATTGTATTTTATAAAAGCATACGGTTATGACAAAGACTAATGTAAAGCTGTTTCCCCCCTTTTAGACGTACGGATAGACTGCACATGGAAACCCTATGCTCTTCAGTATGGGAATAAATGTAAACATTCTTCACAGAGGATAAAGGATATATGCCATTGAATGCTGCTCTATTAACTCTTTGACCGTTTGTGTCAAATATGCGTTGCTGAAAGGGTTATAACACCGCAACATTGATGCTCTTCGTAAATCCGTCTATGACCTTTCCTATTTTGTGTTGACATCAGGTTAGCAGACTTAAAGGCAAAATTAGGAGGTTATTTTGAATAATAAGTAATTCTCTTTATGTTTAGCTTGGCAGTAAACTCGAACTCGGAGTGAACTGAGTTCACTGCCAAGATGCAGTGCTTTTATTTTGTAAGTTTTTAGCAGCAGCTCACTCATATCTCAAGGCACCACTGTCTTTTTTTTAAATCTAATTCACTTATGCACAGGAATGAATGGTAGTTTTTTTTTTTTTTTAATAACTGTGTCTCAACTAATAAGATCCAGAGAGTTCTACAACAATGCGCGTGTTTAATTACCGGTAATATATCGCGAGATTAATACCTCTCTGCCAGTGTCACTTCTGCTCACGTAATGGACCTCATTAGCTTGTGCGGGAGTACCTAATAAAGTGTCCCATAGGTGATTAAGGGGAGCCCCCCCCCCC